ATAGATAGATAGATAGATAGATAGATAGATAGATAGATAGATAGATAGATAGATAGATAGATAGATAGATAGATAGATAGATACAGATACACACCCATCTTCATAGTTCCACATGAAGATATCATTGTCAATTGTTAGCCAAGCTCGAGAGATCTCAGGGAAAACTCCCATCATGCAATTAAACTGCATATCTTATAAAAAAGGTTAAGTCAAAACTTTGATTTCTTGGTCAACAAAAAAGGGAAAGTACTGAACAAAAACATTTTACTTTCGAGTATGATGGAAACACCTGGGTCTGTTTGAAGGGTTTGGATTAGAGTATCGTAAGTGAGTACAAGGATACGGCCAAACTGCTCCACCAGCTCAGGTGGCAGAGGGACTCTTCGGACCGCACTGAGTTCTGGGAGGTTTGGTACAGTGAGCAAGCCAGGTCCCTGGAGAGGGTAGTCCATGTCTGACACTCCAGAGAGAGACGGCATGTCTGTCAACAAAATCCACACTTAAGTATCTCTCTTTGATCACCAATGTGTGAGACAGTATTCACGACCATGACCAAAGATTAATGGATTACGCCAAATTAACCAATTAAACTCGCTTTTATTATGAAATTTCACTTTTTACATTTCAGTTCCCCCTCCCATCCTACCATTGTAGTAAAAGACCAAATGTAAACAGTTAGCCATGACTGCTTAAGCTAAACACAGGACTTACTGTGTGACGGAACACTGAGAAGCTCGGACAGATCAGGGAAGAAGCGATCATCTTGAAGGTGTTTGTCTATCAGACGGGCAGAGTTGTCCAACGCTTCTGCGAGCGCAGCTGCAGGGCTGCTGGGTCCAGAGGCGGCTGGCATAGCTGAGACAGTCGCCGCTGATTTATCTATAGAGAAACCCCCAAAACAGAGCAAACGAATTTAAATAAGTCTGTAATTTATCACTATTACTCAGACTGAATGATTCTGAGTCAGTTAGCCAATCGTTAGCTCCAACTTAGCATGCAGGCTACTAACTAAACAATGCTAACATTAAAGTGTTTTTAAAGTAACTCGTGTCTTTACCTGGTTGAAAATGTTCCGCGTGATGCTGACTTATTTGGACAAGTTTTATCTGACAATTCGGCAGCAGATTTAAACAAAAACGTCCGATATTCACATGTAACTAACAACCCGCCAACCTCATGCTAGGAAGTTTATTTTTCTTCTTCGTTTGTTCAATTTTCGGTAGACTGGGCCAAAGTAAGTCTGGTGCTGCCATCTTCCGGACAGCATTTATCCGCCTTACCAAAACAAAACAAAAAAAAAAAAATGTTTTAGTCAAATTAGTATAAGCATTCGACGAATTAAGTTATACTTATTAAATTATTTTTGAATCTGTTTTTGATTATCAAACAACAACAAGAAAAAGATCGGTCAGTCTATTTTATAAAAATCAAGCACAGCATTATGAAAGTCAAAAATTATTGTAAAACAGTTTTTAATATCTTTTATTAAAATTACTGAAATACTTCATCAATACTTTATAAATGTATTTCAATTTTTTTGTACTTTGGCTGCTTTTTTACTTATTTCCTGCCACAGAAGTCATTGTACCTACCTGATTATGACAGTAAATTGTATATTTTGTATTGGAAAATTGGACAAAAGAAAAAAGTTTCAGGCTGGAAAAAAAAATACAGCTGATAAAGCGTATGTAAATAGTGTCTTAAAAAAACAGGAGCAATTCGTGCAGTACCATCTTTCTACCTGTAGATGTCGCTAGAATTTCAAACACACCGCTCTTCTTCGGCACTTTTGAGGTTTTTTTTAAACGCGGAAGCTTCATAAGACTACAACACCTGACAAGTGATTATTTTCCCCCTTAAAAATAATCCCTCAGCTTTATAACACCCAACAACATGGTAAATCTAGGTTTGACAAAAGTGGACGACGCGATAGCAGCAAAACACCCGGTGAGAATTTGTTGTAGATTTGTTTGTTAAACGTTGTCTCCATTACTTTTAGAGGACATTTACCTTTCAACACTGATATTCAGCTGCTGCACACTGACACTGTTTAGTGTACCACAGTGCACATGTGCTTTGCCACGAAGTAAAAGCTGTTTTTATGTGATGTTTGTCTGTTTTTCAGGGGTTACAAAGTTATGCAGCTTGTCAGTCTAAAGCCTTTATGATGGGGACTGGGAGCTTTTTACTGGGTAATGTTCATTTTTCATCATAAAATTCAGCAAGTTGTACTTTAATTATTATAATTTTGATTTAAATAATATTTTTCATTGTAAACTTCGCAAATTGCAATCACAATTTTTTTTGTATTTTTATTTTTTGTCTTTTGTGAAGCTTTAGTTCTTTCTTTGCAATTTAAAAACAAGACGTTAGTCTAATGCAATTGTTTTTACTGTGATGTAAATAAACCTATCCATGTCTTGAACAGTTAATATCGGACACCACTAGAGGGAACTGTAACCCTTAAATATGAGATATTGGTGACAAAACATAGCACACTATTAAAACTCTTTAACTGTGTTCATTTAGCTGTTTTACTTTTTTTATTGAAAAATAAAAGATTTTGGCACTAAATGGTTTCCTTTAAACCTGCTCAATGAGACAGATATAAATTATAATATAAAAGTACTGCAGATAAGTAACTTTTTGATTGGTGAAGTAGAGGGAAATACATGGAAAAGGTTGTCGTTCGCTTACGTAGAACAAATAAAAATGTGCAGTTTGACCTGTGTTTGAAAAAGGAAAGGCATCAGAAGATGTGAACAGAGAACTGAAAGCTTCATTTTATTCAAAATAGGAAATGTGAAAATAAAAAAAAATGCAAGATTTGTGCAAGAAATGCAAGAACTTAGTGGTACAAAAATATGGTACTAATTCCACTTTTTTAAATGTAAACCCAGTCCAAGACAAGTCTGATTTTCATTTACCCCAACAAAGTATCTCAAAAATAATCTTACAAATTAAGTTTAGCGAAAAATATATATA